GTAGAAAAGATGGAGCATAATAGAGAATCAAATAAGTAAATATTACACTATATCATAATCATTAACTCCTGCAGATCATATGCCATTTGCTATAATTATTATTATTGTGTGCATTACATTTGGGATACTTAACCGGAACTGAGTATATTAAAAGCTTTTCTATTCATATTATTTATTATAGAGTTCAGCGATTCTGTAAAATAAATTTAATTGACACACCTCAAAGCATTTTCCCACCTCAGAAAAGTCTTTAAACTCAATGAAAGTCAAGGATACTAGTTTATTCTACATGACAGGAAAATTATGTTGTTATAAATTCTTAATCTGTGTGGTGTTCCACTTCAGTTTCCCCCCGTCACATCCATTAAACATTGCAGTTTGTGCCAAATACTATACAAGAAATGTATTTTGCAGCATTCACTGTAAGAATCTCAATAGTAAGAAAGATTATTAGCTTTAGGCAAAAGGGTATTTTATTTATTTCGCATTTGAAGATTGAAGTGATAGTGTTCATCATAAAGTTGAAATGCTACTTTGATGACGAAGGCAATACACTGGGAATTGTATTTGTATTTAAAATAGTTGTCATCCTCATTTGTTTCCACTTATGCATCAAACTTTATATCACAGCTAACAGGATATTGCAAGACTCAGAATTCCAATTCTTCAAACAGGTTGTTAGATCTAGGCAACATGCAATACAAACAAAGCAAGTTCTAATCACATAAATTAGGACCGGGGAATGAAGCATTGCATTATAGGTTGAAGAATACTTTGTCCAAGCCACACATAACAGTGCTTCTAGTTTTCTCTGGCTGTTTTCTCAGATTGTACAGATGTTTGAGATTCATCTAATTTGAGATTCATCTGGATAACATTCCCAAAGAATGGGCAGGATTAATGGAAAATATGAATCAGCGGTGCAGTGGTATTGTTGTTGGATACTTCATGACGCTGTTTCAAGTCCGTTCTCCATCAAGTGTTTCCTGAGGGTGACTTTGTTTGAGGCTCTGAATCAAACATTTACACGTCTTGACACGGCTGTTTACACGTCCACAGATTCCTCTCTGACAGGTGTAAAAATGCATTTAGTAAAAGTGTCTCTTCTGAGGATTAATCCGCAGTGAGTTGAGGTGATAACAGCAGATTTTTAATCAGATACAAGCTGTGTGTGCCCAGCTCCACGTCCAGCCAAATCCCACTCTTTCACACAAGCAGGGCATCTGGCAGAGGGGCAGTCTGTTGGTGACTGAAGGGGCACGACGATGGCGGCCAGGGTTACTTCCTGGCATCCTTCTTTATGATGGCTGCATGCCTGGCGTCATAGAAAAACAAATCTAGTTTTTGCATTGGGATAGTTAAAACTGGACCCCATGATGATCATTCTCAGATGGAAGACATTACACTGAAAATAGCAACCACTCTGGTTGGAAAATAATGAAACGTTGACTTTAATTAAATGTATTATGTCAAAAGATTTCACACAACTGTATTAGGTTAGTTGGAAGCAATAATATTAAGTTAACCTGATGTTTTTTTTATTTGAACTTAATAATATTACTTTCATCTAACCTAAGATAATACATTTAATTCAAGTCAATGTTTCAGTTTATCAGTGTAGGATGGTGTGTATGAGAGTTGATTGTTTGTGATGCTGCATCAGATCTTTGATTGACTTATTCATCATTGCCAATTTTTTTAATAACTCCATTTTAATACTTTTTTCGAATGTGGAATCTTGATAAAGCCTGCTACTTCTCCAAATGTTGTCTTTCATTATTTTTTAGTGTGATTGAGGAGAACGGCCATTCTTTCACTCAACATCCACCGGCTGAGAGACCGGCAAATGTATGTCCCTTCCTGTTCATAAAGTTGGATGAACCTTGGGAGGATTTCGCATTCCAAGGAAGGTAGCAGGAACTTGAATCCTATCCAAACACCATGCACCGTGAGAAACGTTGATCACAGCAAAGTGCCGTGTGTTTGACGCACTCTTTTCACTTCCCCTCCACTTCCTCTCATTCCTATCTTGCAATGTAAAGTCATCTGAGCAGGGATTGGCTTTCATGATTCCCCATGCACACTATTTCTGTCTCTAGTCCTTCATCACATCCCGCATCCCGTTTTCCTGCCTTAAGTGCAATATCAGGAAATTGTATTTCACCTATTGCTTTGCCTTAATAGTTTTTGCTGCAGTTTGTTTGTGTGTATTGGCAACAGGACAAAACAAATCGTGTCATTTTTCTTGTCTTCCCTGTGGGCACATGAAAGAGAGATGTGCCAGGCTGTGTTTATATATACATATGTGCACTAGCATGCGTGCAAGCATCAAGGACGGGACCAGTAGGCAGGACGTGAGTCACTCGGCCACAACATAACCAAGCATCATTTGTATCCCACAACAAGCGGCGTCACATTTTGAATTGCCTGCATTCGTGTAAGTCCGGTAAGGCCGCCAAAGCAGGCTGTCAGTAAGAACCACAGAGCCGGATCCAAACATGGTCCAGACACAGCACAGAGACTCACCATCTGTCTTTATCGACGCAAAAATAAAACTGTGGGACAGCTTCACTGCGGAAATGTTGACAGACATGAGGAAGGTCTACAGATGTGCAGGCTGCTACAGTGAGCAATAATAGAAGCCATGGAAGATGTGTTAGCAGGAAGTGTTTTGTACCAGTAGTGGGAAAGTGTTGTATTCCCTTTGTTTCAGGCGTATTTTATTTTAACGGTCCAAAATGTTGAGCTTTAATAATGTAAACACGTTACATGCACACCTGCTATGACAGAGACACACAATATGACATAATGAATGTTTATTATAAAAGAGATCACTTTTTTTGTATAATGTACAGAGGTGGGAAGTACAGTAGGAGCACAAATACTTTGTTACTGTACTTAAGTACATTAAGCTGGTATCAGTACTTTACTCCACTACAGTTGAGGCCTAAATTGTTAGCCCCCCACGAGTTATGGAACATTTTCCTAAAATTCTTCCCAATGTTTCCAATATTGATAAAACTTGATATAATCAAACATTCACTAGTGCTATTTAGTAGCTTTTGCTACATTTTGGAACATAAAATAAGTTTTTAGGCTTGCTTTATATCAGATATAGTGAAAAATGGGTTGGTCAAAAATATTAGCCCCCATGTGAATTTTTGCTTTCAAAACACACCTAATCAATCAATCAGCTTTCAAACCACACCTAATCAACCAATCAGCTTTCAAACCACACCTAATCAACCAATCAGCTTTCAAACCACACCTAATCAACCAATCAGCTTTCAAACCACACCTAATCAACCAATCAGCTTTCAAGCCACACCTGAGCATTCAATCAGCATAAAAGGACTCCAAGAAACATGCACTTGAATACCTTATTGAGAGGGACTACACTGCTACTCCTACTCACCATGCAAAAGACAAAGGAAATCAGTCTTGAGCTCAGAAAGAAGATAGTGGAGGCTCATGATAAGGGGGAAGGCTACACTGCTATTTCCAAGTGCTTCACAGTGTCTAGAACTGCTGTACGTTGCATCATTGCGAAGAACAAGGAGACAAATTCTGTAAGAAACAAACCTGGGCGCGGTTCGAAAGCGCAAGATTTCAAGACTCTGGAGAAGGAAAATAGTCAGAGATGTCCGCAAGAATCCCCGGACCATCTGCAAGATGATTGTTGCTGGACCTGCCTCTTCTGGAGTTGTGTTACTTTTTTCCAAGGAACACAGTTTGTAAAGGGCTCTTCATCGTGGTGGGTTCAGGGCCATCGTCCCAGAAGAACCCCTTTATCAAAGGCGCATATCAGCCAGACTGAGGTTTGCGCCGTGAACATTTTGAAAGGTAAAGATGAGTTTTGGAAGTCTGTGCTTTTGGTCTGGATGAGACGTAACTAGGAACTGTTTGGAGACATGGATGTTGCTTATGTTTGGCAAGAAAGGGAGAGGCATTCAACTCTAAGAACACAGTTCCCACAGTTAAACATGGTGGTGGGAAGCCATCATGCTTGTGGGGCTGTTTTGCAGCCTCAGGCCAGGGAGCCCCTGTTCTGGTGCAAGGCATCATGAACACATTTAAATTATGATTGACATTTTGAGGGATAATAACTGAAAAGGAATCTGCTCTTAGACTCTTTCCCCGCTTAGGTCGTCGCTTGGGTTCTTCCAACAAAGNTATCCATCATTTCCTGGTCTTCTCTAAAGAAGAGGGACCAATGAAAACGTTGTCATTTTGCCGTTGATCAGCATGGAAACATTCATTAGCTAACAATGACATTATTGTTCTATTAATATAAAGTGAGGTCAGGTACTCTTTAACACAGCCGGTAGTTATGTGTACATTTCGAAGCCCATACTTCTTAACTTTTACTTGAGTAAAGAAGTTTAGTCATTACTCCTACTTTTACCAGAGTATTTTTAAACATGATTATCTGTGCTTCTACTTTAGTAAAGGATGTGTGTACTTTTGCCGTCTCTGATAATGTACTAGTAGTAGTGCGGCATAATAGCATACCTTAACTTGTAGCATAAAGAAATATCCAAACCACTTTAAAATAATTTGATCTAATAGGTCCCCTAAATACTCAATTTCCCTCCTTCAGTGCAAACCTAACTATCATAATTCATGTGTGTACTCAAGCCTATAACATTTGTTATCTACGTGTAAGCAGAGACTGATTTATTAAATGAGCCAGCACAAAGAAAAACAGAAGTAAAACGGGGTCAAGGGTGCCTCTTGCCTTGTCTATCTTCCCCTGCTTCCTCTCATTCGGAAGCCTAGAAATGGTGTTTCCAGACCTGTCAACAAAGCTTTCCTAAATCCCACAATGCCCCTGGCTCCCTGAACGGTCCTAAAAAACAAGCGTTTTCTTAAGAGTCCCGAAAGATAAAAACAAAAGGCTGAGATGGATACAATCAAATGCGACTGGACTGACAGTTTTTCCAGGTGTTGTGAGCATGTGTTTTCATGAGGAAGCACACAGTCAAGGACTGAACGTTAAAAATACTGAAGATTTATTTTTCATCAAAAACAGTAAAAGAATATAAAACAAAACAAGATGTTGCTGTAAGAAAAACAGAGGCTGCATGAACACGAAAAGAACACACACATAACACAGCCACTCAAGTGTGATTGCTGATATAATCACGTGTAATCATGAGCTCGCCAGCAGCGATTTATAATCATCATCAAGATGAAATTGTGTCTTTCTAATTCTTCAGCCCAACGACAGCATAGCATCTCGGTGACAGGAGGGGATCAAAGAGTTGCACCAGAGCAGAGAATGATAAATCCTCCTACAGGACACAAAGAACAAAACAATAAGAAACAAAAGAAGATGATAAAAAACACATGGACATCACAACCTTGACTCTCCTCCCAGTTTGCCTCTCTATGATGTTCTCCCAATAAAAGATGTCTCTATTGAATCCCCAGAGAAGAAACATCTGTGCAAATATTGTGTCAGGTGGAGTCCTGTTCATGTGCACAACAAGTGTGTCTTTCTTGATGGCTAGCTCCTAAGTTGTAGGTCATTTTGGAATAGTAGCAAGACCATATGCTACTTATGCAACTACATATTTAGCTGACTTCCTTAATAAGTGAAGCTGGACACAAACAGTGTTTTGCTTGGTGATGAGCTGATTCTAATTGAATTAGTATTGATTTTGTATTGTATTTAGATCTAGCTAGCAGTGGTGATCTTTAGGGTAACTATAGATATATAAAATCTTAGTTATCCTAGCGTGTTTGCATGCTAACATCAGCATACTATAATGCTAAAAAAGGCAATGATTCAAGATTTTTCAAGATTCAAAGCATTATATTATATGTTATTATCATAACATATGCTAACATTGTTCCGGCTTATCAGATACAATGTTAACTATGTTCACATCTCGGTTGTCCTAGCTTGTTAGCATGCTAACTGCAGGTACATTGACCACATAATGGTTGTATTGTTAAAAGGCAAACTAGTGCTTTTGGACCTCAGTGATTACGGTCCTGTTTACATGTTGTAACACGCATTGTTCTGTCCCGAGTTCACTGAAAAAATGTAACAATGACTTTGCTTAAATGTATTATGTAAACAGATAATTGTATTAGGTTAGTTGAAAGCATTAGTATTAAGTTGAACCCTATTATTTTGTATTCAAATGTAATATTATTGCTTTCAAATAACCTAATACAATTATGATTAATGTGTTGCCATAATACATTTATTTAAGTCAACGTTTCAATTTTTTTTCAGTGTTGCAAATTATGGCAGGGTAAAGCAAATAAACAACACAGTGGTGTCATACCCTTGCAAGATATTCCCTATTTTAACATATACTGTTTGGTGCTTTTACTTTTCGGCAGACATCCCGTCACAGTGTTGACTTGCTTAATAAGTGCATCAGTGTTTGACTTTCAACACTTCACCTAGGGCCTGAAGACTTTATGAAAACATACAGAAATATACTGTATGTTTCTGGATAATAATCACGGCTCAGAACTTAACCTGATCAGTGTGTGTTTATATCCTTTAAGGCTGAACATGCTTCAGCACACTTATCATCACATGGATCATATTCACATACATCTATCACCTCCTTTTCCCCCTCTGCTCCTCCTTGGGGGAGATCCCTCAAAGCTGACCAGCGCTTTGTACGTTATATCATTTGATTACATGACCCTAGTAAGGAAGTCCATCTGACACACAGCGATGCATGTAATCACAGGTTCAAAGCTTGTACATATCTCATCACAGTGACTCAGGCTACAGATTAGGATGTTGAGTTTGGCTGCAGATGCACAAGACGTTAAATTGCAAGCTGGCTTTAATTTAGCCGACACCTATATTATTGTCGGTGGAGTTTAATTTAAAAAAAAGTTGAGAGATCTCAGCTGAGATTTCTGCGTCTTCGCTTTCATCATCTGAAGAAGTTTTTAATCCTAATCAAGGGACTGTACGAGCACATTTTAAAGATGATTCCAGATGAACAAAGAGAGTGAGTGAGGAATGTGTGTCCCTACGGTGCTTGTGAAAATCACTGTTCGTTAAATTATGACTCAATGTTACTTGTTTTTATCTAGTTTGTTCAATTTCAATTTGTTTTCTCAGGGTGAGTTTAAAGGTCCCATGACATGGCCATTTCTACTGATCATAATTCCATTGTTGAGGTCTACTAAAATAGATTTACATTGTTCAATTTTCCAAACTCACATTGGTTGCTCACACAGCATCTCTGTATAGTACTGTATGTGTATTCACTCTCTTTCCTAAACGGCTTGTTGGAGCTCCTGCCCCCCCCCCCCCCCCCTTCCCTGTGAGCCCACTGTGCTCTGATTGGTCAGCTCGCCCACTCCGTTCTGATGAGTCCACCACCGTTACAGCGGAACATCAGTGTTTATGTGTTACAATGGCGTTTGTCGCAACCAGAAAATGACACCAGTAATGACAAATAGATGAGAATGCTGCGTGGGGTCTGGGTGCCGTGTTGGCGGGACGTTGCGAGGCTTGCTGCTGCGAGGAGCGGACAGTGTGAGCTGGCTTACTGGTTTGGTTTCCTGGTTGCTGCGTGGGGTCGGCGAGACAGCGAGACACAGCGAAACCCAGCCCAAAACCAGCCAGAGCTCACAAACAGACTCACAGACTCACAGCCTCGCCCGCGTCCCACCGTCTCAGGCTGAGAAATCCGCGGAGCTGCAGCTGAGAAAAGATTGAGTGTGTGTGTGAGAGGAAGTCCATTTGGACCAATCCGCGGACTTAACGTAACGGCTCCGCGAATTGGTCCATTTGGGTATGGTTACGTCAGCATACCCAGGAAGAAAAAAATGGAAAATGAAAAATCTCCAACGAGGCGTTCTGGGGCAGCACAGACAGGTATTTTCTGTGTTAGAGTTTTACTCGCTACAGGGTGTACTTTGAGGGTTTGTGACTCTGCAGACCGTTTACATGCAGAAAAAGCTACATAACACACAAGGGGACGGGTAATAACCGGAAAAGCATGACATGGGACCTTTAGGATTTGAAGTAATAAAACGTGTACAAAATAAAAGATTTCCACTTATGGCTTGGCTATTTCCACTAAATAAAAGCAATTTTGAGATCAAAATAATTGTTATTTTAAACCAGATTTTTTTGGATTTGCTGGAAAGAGTTTTTTTTTTTAAAACAGCATTTTGAAGACACACCTGTTTATTTATTTATTTCCAACCTCCCCTGCCTCTTCTTGGCTTTCAGTATGACTTCCTTTTAGAGTCTTACTCCAGGTTGTGCTTAAGGGGAGTCAAACATGGGAGCAGAGCCGCACCTTTAAAATGAATTCCTATTATTTTTCAATGATTTATGAGAGTGTCCCGACTGAGTTTACCTGTTCTTTCAGGTAGCAGAGGCGGTCAAGGAGAATCAGACCTTCAATACAGGGAGCTAGGGTCACCTTCAACTGCACAGAAACAATGACATGAGATGACTTTGAATATAAATTGGTTGATTTCATTTCACATCAGTGCTTTTGACAAGGTTATAATTCTGTCTGGTACAAAACTGCTTATTTTGATACTCCCAAAATTGAGACTACAAACCCACCATTGCCAGTCTTGCCAGTAGCTGGTGGGCAATCCCCAAAAAACATGTTTTACTGCTTTATGTCATGAAAGAAAATTCGTATGTTGGGTGGCACCACCATTAGTGGCCTCATCTCATCTGAAACCACAGGCTGCTCCCATTCTGTACAATCATCCTCGCAGACTACAATGATCTCACTTAATGCTTCTTGGCATTATTCATCCTATTTCACAAGACTAACAGATTTCCGTGCCTACCAGTCCAGTTAAAATGTTATCGATGACTTACCAAATTAAAAGCATGCATTTCGCCCATTCGCGGTTTGTATGTGTCGTGGTAATCCTGGATGTCCCTGTCTGAGAGCTGTGAGAAAGAGAGTATTATGCAAGTGAGTCAGAATATAAGGGCATATAAAAAGGGGAATAAAAGTGAGACATGTAGGGAACATTTGAAAAGGAGTTAAAGTAGGAGAGAAAGAGGTTTATGACTTTTGGAGTTGTATGTGACGGCGCACAGACAGAAATACATCATCCTTATTCCCATGGATACGCAGCTCTGCCAGATGAGCTCAACATCCTGGTTTCTGGCAACATCTTAATCCCACCACCTGTGTAGTTCCTTAAGTTTACACAATTGATATGAATATATATAAATTGATGGGTAAACACCAATGAGGAAATATATTCTCTGTATCCGGCCAAAATATGGAACATTTCCCCCGGAGTGCATTGTTTTTCCACAACTTGTTTCTAGAAGGTGTTGTAAGACAAAAATATTTTTGTCCTGACCTTTGATTCATCCAATTCCAGTCTGAGTAGAGCTCGGTGAACATAGTCCACGAAGGACTTCGCCTTGGAGTAGACATTCCCAACTCGCTTTTCACTGCAGAGCAAACAAGTCATACATTTACCATTTATCAGTCCCTGAACGTCTCAGTGAAGTAAACAACTTCCACTCCTTTACTCACATGTCGTTTGCATTTTTTTTTCTTTTAAATCAAATTTTAGCAATCAGAATTTAACACTTCTTAAAGGAGTGAACAGTGATGAATAAGCGCTCTTAGAGAAAAGTCATGGATATTCCATCCTGATCTGATCTAGTCATTACACTGAAGGTCACTGAGCACATTCGATAAAGGTTAAGTGGAATCTGCGAGATACTGCTTTAGTTCACTTCAAGAGGACAAGAGGACAAGGATAAGAGGACAGCATGATCATAATCCGTCAACAAATTCAACTAAAATGCCTGAAAATAAGGAATCAAAATAAAACGACCCGACAACTAACGATGTTTGTAAAAGGTACGATATTACCAGAAAAATATATATTTTATAAAATATAAAAGCCTTGAAAGGGTGCAATTCATGTTTTTTACATTATCGAATAATGTGCTCATTTTCCTTATTAGGTCTTCAGTCTATAAAATATAAAGAAGTGATCCTTTATGGTTGGTTTAAAACCTTAAAAACACCAAGAAGAAACATTCCCTTTTTGGTTCAGAGAAAATAAAAAATAAATCTGTGACGTACTTAATACTTTTCCTTTGGTCTGTTACAATTTGAACAATCTCCTGTTTATTTTAGCTGTATGAGTTTAAAACAACCCTAATTAACTAAACTATGTGGACACTGTGAAATAATACCCATAAAATGTTTAATAGCTTTACACTTGCTGTCATTTTTCATATGAAAGTGATGCAGATGTAAACCGTTGTTACCTTTTGAAGGAGCTGTAGTGATCCCTCAGAATAACATGAAGGACGGCTCGGTAAAACAGAGACTCCATCTGAATCTGCACACAAGATCAAAGATAACTTGATTCAACATCATGCAGTTTACTTTAAATTCCCCTTGCGATTCACTCAGTGTGTGTATGAACAGTTGATAAATACTCCTGACACTTTCCAAGCCTGATGCAAGACTAGCAGACAATCAAGTCAGATTCAGACCCCAGTTCCAACAAGAAATCAATCTAGTGATTGCATTAATATTTATAAACATTCCATATTAATGGCTGGTGGTATCATGTAGCACGCGTTTTGCCCCGAGCTCCATTTGAAATAAACACACTGCAGTCAATCACGGACTTAAAACAATAGCAGAATCAATGTGCTGATTGTTTTAGATCATTGTGAAGATTACACAGTCACAGAGTGATTGCTAACACCCATATTTGATATTTTAAATAATGTGATGGATTTGTTTTGATGGGTGGGGAGTGAGAATAGAAAGAGATTTGAGCCTCATTGTTGTGCGATGATGACTTTTATTTTATATTTAATAAATATGGATGTCCTACTTACCCCTTGGCCGAGTGAAACTCTTTCGAGGGCCTGTTTTTGGAGAAAATTGTGAAGCGTTAAAACAAAAATATTTATTGGGAAAAACTGAGCTATAGCCACAGTAATAAAAAGTAAAAAAACACGAATCCACAAGCCTTACAGTGACTAAAAAGACTGTCTGGAGATCACATGTTTCTCTAGGAAAGCTGCTGCTGTGCACATTTTTTGTGCTGTCATCAAAACTCACCAAACACGCTGACATCCTGGCGTTTCTGCCGCAGAACCAGGAGCCTTGGCGGAGGTACTGACTCAGAGGGAAGCCACACACACCGTGCAAACACTCTGGGAGGGAACACACAGAGATAATAGCACTGAAATGACATATCAGCTTATCAAACAACAGCAATCAGTGGGTTTGAATTTTAAATATTTGCCTGGCTACTGAAAAAGAGAGCAGGAGTAGGAAAAACATTAATTCATAAAGACTTCTATCCTTTTCTTTCACTGTGACTGTCTTAAAGGGCTCTAAACTGGATTCAAAACTATTGAGGTTTTTAACTTGTGTATGTGTCAAAAAGGCGCTTAAAAGGAAATGTTCTTGCACAGAGGTAAATGAAAAAGGAGATTGATACCACTTTCATATTTTGTCGGTGTAATCTGAAGCTGCTGGTAGCCAGGAAACAGTTAGCGTAGCCTAACATAACGTTTGGAACAACAGGGGAAACGGTTAGCTAAATTCACCAGGCTAGCTGTTTTCCCTTATATTTTTCGTGCTAGGCTACGCTAACTGTCTCCTGGCTAATGTTTTTCCCAGAATCTCAAGCTTCTTCTTTAATATGCTTAAAGTGTACTATGGTTAGAACCTCTATAGGATAAAACTCATCTCTCCTTTAAAAAACTTTAAAAGTTTGAACACCTAAATGTGGTTGTAAGGAGCAAATGTGAAGCACCTTTCTAACCATAGCAGAGCTGAAGGCACGCGCGCACACACACACACACACACACACACACACACACACACACACACACACACACACTCCCTTTGGGAGGGTACTGGGTGTGACTTCTTGACAGCCAGCCATCCTTTTCATGTCATTTCTAAAGGGGTCAGTGGCTGAGGCCAAGGCGCAGTGAATCCAGAGGGACACGGTCAAAGGAAGCAGTAATAACATGTGCAGCTGCTAGCAAACAGCCTGGGATACCCTAAGTAACATGTTAGCAATCAAGTTAGCTTCCCTTCTGCAGCGGCACATGGCCTGCAGACACAGAGTTGACCCTCGGAGGCAATTAAAGTGGACAGGCCTTTCCTCCTGCTGATTACAGTACGTACACAGAGATGTTTATAGAAGCTGGTCTCGTGTTCACATCTGAAGTGGCCACATACATGCAACCCCATTTAAAAAGGCAAATATTTCTGAAGTCCTTGTGTTCGATTGTACACTTTGTGTAGAGACATTCTGGTTCCAGACCGGAGACGCCTGAATGTGCTTAAGATGTTGATGTCAACAGAATGATCTTTGGAGTCCTGATTCCACATAAGGTATTAAACAAGGATGATGCATTTAAGGATTATACCATGGGTGGGTTCGGGGGGGTGCAACAAGGGCCAACAAGGGCCAGTGCCCCTATAATACTGAGCTTGGACCCCCCTGTGGCTCCCCTCCAAAAGAAATAATTATGATAATGCATTTCTGATAGTTATAATAAAATAAAATGTAACTTAGACATTGACTAAAGTTCTCTTAAAAAACCCCCCACAAATGATTGTATTTATTGTTTTTCTTTGGGCTCTGACTTTATACTTAATCACGATTCGTACCGTAACATGGCAATTTTGTCTTTGTAGCGCGTTAAATGTGCTCCTCTCGTAAAATAACTGGCCCCAGCGCGGCCCCCCCAGTAAAATTGGTCTAGAACAGCGACTTGATGATACCAAAGTGAGTAGATCACATAACTGTAGCTTTCTATAATGAAGCTTTTCAGCTCTGCAGCTCTTTTTGAGAGTGAGGTAGCCACCACAGGAGCTGGCCAGCATCCCAGACTGCACTGTAAGGGGAGAGAAAGTGTGTGTCGGTGTGATTGCCATTTGTTCACTTCTTTAAAGCATAAAGCCGTAACTTGAGAAACGAGCATGGATGGGAGTGTTTTCAATCAGCTGTCGTGATATCATTTTCCGCTGGCTCTTGGCTGAAGCTGCGTCGGGCCGAGATGACGTGAGGATCGAAGGTCACGCCGTTAACAAGAGATGACGGGACACCGTATCCACTGTAGTGACGGCTCTCCCTAAGGATTTACAGAGGCTGCAGTCACAGCATGAGGACACATGTAGACAATTTCATACCCCGTTAAACTCAGCGGTGAAAAAGCGAGGATGACATCAATGTATGGTCCTGTGTTTTTTCACCTGAATTAACCTCAGGTGTAGAGGATGACATACCATCTCCTCAGTTTGAAAGGCTAGTTAAATAACTAAGAGTATACAACATGCTGGTTTCAGAATAAATCAAAGTAAAAAAAAAAACACATTTTCAGCAGGCATAAACAGCCATCCTTATTACATAAATCCACACTAATGGCTTTAACAGAGCCCAACTCAATCTCCAGAAGTGTAACTTGGCTGAGTCTCCAGGCTCTCAGTGGACTGGACTTGTTTACTATAAAATATGGCTATTAGTGTTTATGTGGGAAGCTAATATTTCCTTTCAGATAGGATCAGAGATATAGAATGAGCTCTGCAGGTGTCTGAGATGGGTTTATGGGACATGTGTGGGAGAAAGAGATAAAAATAGAGAGAAAGGCTGAGATATACGTACAATGGAAACCATATTTTTTAAACACTCCACCATCGTTCCTGTCCCCAAAAAGACAAAAATCACCAGCCTCAACGACTACCGCCCAGTAGCACTCACCTCCATCATCATGAAGTGCTTTGAGCGGTTAGTCAAATCATTGATCACCTCCTCCCTCCCTGGCTCTCTGGACCCCCTGCAGTTTGCCTACAGAGCAAACAGGTCCACAGACTACGCCATAGCCCTCACCATCCACACTGCCCTCTCACACCTGGACCAGAGGAACACATATGTGAGAATGCTGTTCATTGATTACAGTTCAGCATTCAACACCATTGTGCCCTCCAAGCTGGCCATCAAGCTCAGAGACCTCAGGCTCAACAGCGCCCTCTGTGACTGGATCCTGAACTTCCTGACGGGCAGACCCCAGGCAGTGCGGGTGGGAAACATCACATCCTCCACCCGATCCTCAACACCGGAGCCCCTCAAGGCTGCGTGCTCAGCCCTCTCCTCTACTCCCTGTTCAC